ACTTTCTTGTAATCTCTAGTAAAGAGATAGGCAGTGAGGAAATACAACGCATCCATCCTAGCAATGTCATCATCCGGTAGAGCTTCAACAAGAGCTAAGTCCGACATTTGACACGCAGAGAAAAATGTGGACTTGATGTCTTCATGTGTTACAGTATCCACTTGAGAAAAGTACTTTCCCTTCAGTTTTGATGTTCTACTATCATACATTTGTGTATCACACTCTCCATGACATCTCAGGCATGTGACTAAATAGAACTTGGAGATGGAGAATCTTACATACCTTCCAGCCACATAAAACCACATTTCTTAGTTTTTCGGCTGATGAACTTGTCTCAGAAGGAAGAAGTGAATTAGTTGTGGTTGTATCATGATCTCGTCGCACTCTAGAAAGTGAGCAAAACAGGTTCCCATCAATATACATTTTTGTGGTCGGCTTAAGCTCATCTGAATGGTATTCAAGACACCTTTACAGACTAAGATTGTAATTTTCCCAAGAAACCACCTGTCTTCTGGTATTATGAATTGCCAAGCCTGTATTGAAATTGCAGACAATGTTAAACACTTGTACTGAAAGAAATCACACACAAATGATATGTTACAACACGAGATTTAATTAATAACATGCTCTGCCTAACTAGTCACATATGCATACACGTACACTTGGGTCAGTAAGTTGAATAGGGTCACAAATCTTCATTGTTAGAACACTCAAGTCACATATTCAGTCGGCTTAGGTCACAGATCTATTCATTGTTAGTACTTCCAATTCACATAGATTCGGGTTAGGTCACAGGTCACATTTAGTACCTTTGACATCACGCAACATATAAGACATCAAATTAGAAGCATAAATACAATACCATACACATTCCGCATTGTCACTAACAAACCAATAACTAGAAGTCTTGTAATAAAATCAACATTTTCATTTGTATCACATCACAGCAGTACACAGATATGTGTATTAGTTTTCAATAAAATGAATAATGTCACAGATTAGAGCAATTCATTGTTGGCACTTCCAAGTCACATATACTGAGCTCAGGTCACAGATCATCTACCATGGTCACATACACTGAGCTCGGGTCACAAATTATCCTCTAACATCACGCAACATATTAGACATCAAATTACAAGCACGAAGGAATTTCCTTACACATACTCTTCACACCTAAAACCCTAGGTCATGCCCAATACTGAATTTACTTCAATCGACTACAGTTCACAGAGTGCCCAAATATCCAACATGTTTTTTCATTGTTTGATAAACAAAAAACAAAAAAAAAATGAGGAAATAACCTTGTTCGATTGGCCTTTAGGCTCGGTCACAGACACCGAATGCGTTGGGGTTCCCATTGGGCTATCCTGAGACATCCTTTTGCTTCTTCTTCTTGTTGTGTCTTCGAGATTAATAACCCCTCATGCACCTTTCAATTTCTCCATTAGATTTCGTTTTTAAGGTAACGAAAGGGATGTACTCACCACAGTGGTTCTTGCACAAATTGACTTCGACAATGGTGAGATTGTAGGGTAACTAAATGGCGATATTTGGACTTTGGGTGGATGAGTTCAAACTAGCGAGGGTTTGGAGACGACGGGAAGTCGTGGGAGAACAAAGAGAGGGTTTGGAGATTACGTGAAATCGTGGGGAAAGAGAGAGAGAGAGAGAGAGAGAAGATAATTGATATGGTAGTTAAGAAAATTGTAATTTGAATTACGATAATTAAGGAAACGTGACATCAGTTAATATACACATCGACTAATTATTAAATTATAAAAAATAAATATTTCACATTTAATAATTATATAAAAACATGACATGTGCATAAAAAACTTCCCACCTAATGTTTGCAGCCCAATCTTCAAACACCTGGGACGGTGTAATTTCCACTATTCACAGGGGTTTATAGACCCCTCACATGGGGTCGGCTCCAAGTGGGCCACAATGCAATACAAAGTGAAAAAAAAAACCTCGATTCCACCCCATATGAGACCCCTGTAAGAGGTCTGTAAGAGCTGGGGTTGTTCCATAAAGTCCGAGAACATTATCAAGTTAATTAGACTTTTCAAACACTCCATAAAATAAGAAACAAGAAATATCACGACTGTTAAGTCTAGATCGAAAAACTCGTTGAAAAAATATTTCAGCCACTTTATGTTGTCAAATGAGTAATGAATTATAACATTGAATTGGGTAATTATATTACCATCACAATTTAATTATTACACCACATTATAATCACACCACAATTAAAATATATTTTCAATAAAAACATCACAAGAAATTTACAATTATACTCCTAATACAATAAAAACTAAAAATAAAATACAATATTGTGATGCACTCATCCTCTCAATATACTTCATCTTTATTTTATTTTTTCTTAGAATATGTTTTTCTCTTTCCGCTTTTCATCTCCATCTGTGTTGACACATTGCAAGTTTTTCGTTACTCACCCCCAATAATTTAAGTGCAACATATATGGCTTATGTTAATGCCCATTTACTCCCAATAATTAGTTTCTAGAATTTTTTTTTCCCAAGATTTCTATGAATTTTTAATTTATTGACTTCAAATGTAGCAAGCCAGTTTTCTCCGAATAAGTGTAAACAAAACCAAGAAATTAGTCTTTACTAATTTTAAAGACGTGTTGGTGTTTTTTAACTTTATTTTCAATTTTTTTAATTTCCAGTTTTAATTTTATGTTTTTGCTTGTGGATGAATCTTTATTCATTTACTTTCACCAAATACATTATGGTGGCGGTGGTGCCTCAGTCCTTGAGCCCTTTTATTCTTGCAACCCATGTATTTTGTGGTTCAATTCAAGTCCTTCACTTTCTAAATTATTCAATTTGACCTCCAAACATTTCAATCTTCGATTCATGGTCCAGATCAACTATTGAATTGTTATAACTTGGCCCCCAACTTTTGGATTTCGATTTTTTTTCGCTTCATTCCTTTAATTCATTTTTCTTCATAAATTTTCAACTATTAAACATAAAAGACAAAAATTTACAATATAATTTGTGAAAAGAACCATCAAATATCTTTATTTTAAGGTACCAAATAAGTGTATAAAATACACTTATCAAATACCCCCAAATTTAAACATTTGTTTATCCTCAAACAAAACTATAAATAAATAATAATTGACACACAAGCATTCAAAAATATTCGGTTGGACAATCTAGCTTCTCACCTCAGGATTCAAGATTTAGTGTTTACGCTATAAACATGCTTCAAAGTCACAAGTACCAAACTAATATCCACTCTTCCAATGCAAAAATTGAAGTGTGTCTGTGAAGAATCGAGTAATCAACCATGACTGCACAAGTTGTTTCAATTTCCGACCCTTAATAGTCATATATATCCTTTCATCACTCGTAAGATTCACAAACCCTAAACTTATTCTTTTTCACTCTTTTCTAGTGTGTAATATAAGGTTGAATATTTCATTACTATCCTCACCCTCTCGAGTTTAGGTGGACGTTACTAGTTGCAAGTCAACACTTCAGTGAACAAGGATTCTCCAATTATTTGATTGTTTCGATCTCCAAGAATCAACTAGCTAATTATCTTACATCAAAAGTTAAATTCCCTCAAGTAACCGTTAGGGCTTAACCACAGGTATTTTTTTTATATATTCTCTTCATTAAGCTCCTAAATGACCCCTGTAGTAGGCTTTAGGCCAATGACTCCCAAATAAGATGATTTTAGAGCATCAGGTTTTTAAATACCCTTACAAACTTACTGACCCGATTCAAAAAGGCTTCGAAGAGAACAAATTTTTTTTCTCATTTTTTTAAGTGCAACTTCGTCTCTAATTACTTTCTAAATGACCCTTGTAACGAGTTTTAGGCCGATGACTCCCAAGTCAGATGACTTTAGGGCACCAGGTTTTAAGATACCCTTACAGACTTAATCACTCGAGTAAAAAAGGCTTTAGAGAGAAGTTTAAACTTTTCAAATGTATATGCCTTGATTAGTGCAATGCCCCTTATCACACACTTATTCAAACAAACCGATCTCTAACTTAAGACTTTCACAGAGTTTTATCATATTAGTCTAAGATAATCTACACATAAGTATCCACACATGGAATCCACATTCACTCAGCATCTTCCTACAACTATAAAGTCACGCCCAAACTGTGCTAAATTTGGTCTAAGGATAGATAATTTATTATGGTTTAGGTAAACCATTTATGTCCAACTAGATCAACATATCCAAAGCAAGAAACAACACATTTAATCATAATGTCAAACTCAATTCTAGTACGCTTGTAATATCAAATTTTGTGAGGTTAAACTTCAATTAGTCTAGTATGCATCCTATTCACAGTTCATAAATCAATACCAAATCTCAAATTAAATCATCATTGTCTGCTATACTGTCTAATCCACACAAACATTCAACTGAACAAAAGAGTTCTTTTTTTTTTAATTTCAATTTTTTCTTTTCTTTTTTCTTTAACAAACACACAAAACATAAAAAAAACTAAAACTAAAAGTTTTTTTCACCCCCAAATTTAAAACTGACATTGTCCTCAATGCCATAAAGCATAAATAAACACATAAAGGGGGTAGGGAAAAAGAAGAAGAAGGTATTCCCCAAATTTTTCTGTTGAATGTGTGAGGCACTATGTGAGACGACTGGATAATATTCTTCATCATGCTTTCCCTTGGATCTATATTGGTTTGAGTGTTCCACGACGTCATGTTCCTGAAAAATCAAATTTGACAAGTTAAAGATAGGGAATAAAAGTTACTTAGCTCAAATAATCAAAATAACCAACAATAAATTCAAGGGCCTAAGGGCAGAAGGGATATAGGTGATGACTCCTAAAAATTGAAATGTGCCTAAATCTAATACAACCTAGTAAACAAAACAAAACTATATGCTGTGCGACACAAAAAGTAAAATAAAAAAAATTTGAAAATTGGGTTGCCTCTCAATAAGTGTTTCTTTTAAGTCATTAGCTGGACTTTGTGCTGCTATTATTTTGGTACAACTAGGTTAAGGCTCTCTTTAGCGATGGGGAAATCTTCCACGTAGTGCTTGATACGTTGGTAATTTACTTTGAAGTTTCCTTTTGTTGGATAGTGTAATTCAACTGTGCCGTAGGGAAACACCCGAGAGACCGTAAAAGGGTTAGACCATTTAAATTTCAACTTTCCTGGAAACAATTTAAGTCTGAAATTGTATAAAAGCACTTGATCTCCCATTCTAAAAATTCTTTGCCTAATGTTCTTGTCATGCCACTGCTTCGTCCTTTCCTTGTAGATGGCTGAATTCTCATATGCTTCTCTTCTGAATTCTTCCAATTCATGTAGTTGCAGTATTCTTGTTTCTCCAGCCTTTTCGAGGTCTATGTTTAACTGCTTCAATACCCAGTATTCTCTATGTTCAAACTCCACTGGTAGGTGGCATGCTTTTCCAAAGACCAGTCGATATGGAGACATCCCAATAGGTGTCTTGTAAGTAGTGTGATATGCTCATAAAGCATCGTCTAATTTCTTTGGCCAATCCTTGCGAGATGCATTCACAGTGAGCTCCAGAATTCTTTTCAATTGTTTATTCGAGGTTTCCACCTGTCCACTTGTCTGAGGGTGGTAAGGAGTGGCAATTCGATGTTGTACCCCGTACTTATGTAGCACTACTTGAAATAACCGATTGCGGAAATGAGTTTCACCATCACTTATTATAGCCCTAGGTGATCTATAGCGGTTAAAAATGTGTTTCTTTATGAAGTCCACCACCACCCTTGCATCATTTGTAGGCAATACTTTAGCTTCTACCCATTTAGAGACACAATATACTGTCACTAGGATGTACCGATTGTTATAAGATGATGGAAAAGGACCCAAAAGATCAACACCCCAAACATCAAATATTTCCACCTCCAAAATGTTGTTAAGTGGCATCTCGTGACGCGCTGATATGTTACCTATCCTCTGACATTTATCACAAGACCTGCAAAAACTGTGGCAATCCTTGAACAGTGTAGGCCAAAAGAAACCACATTGAAGCACCTTTGTTGCTGTTTTAGTGGGGCCAAAGTGTCCTCCATAAGCCGAAGCATGAACCCATGAAAGGATAGGTTTCATCTCATCCTCTGGTACACATCTCCTAATGATCTGGTCCGCCCCTCTTCTGTATAAATTTGGATCATCCTAATAATAAAATTTGGCTTCTTGAAGCAGCTTCTTTTTCTGCTGATAGGTGAGATCATGATCCATATAGCCACTAGCTAAGTAATTAACAATGTCTGCATACCACGAAACCTTCTCTATTTGCAATAACTGTTCATTTTGGGAAGACCTCATTAATATCCATGTCCTCTGAATCATGCAGTTGCTCCAGCCTTGATAAATGATCTACTACCTAATTTTCTGTACCATTTTTGTCACGAATTTCAATGTTAAACTCTTGCAGTAACAGAACCCATCGAATCAGCCTAAGTTTAGCATCCTTCTTCTCAAACAGATATTTCAATGCTGCATGGTCAGTGTAGACTATCAGCTTTGAACCAATTAGATATGAATGAAATTTGTCGAAGGCAAATACCACTGCTAGCATCTATTTTTCTGTTGTTGCATAATTGATCTGAGTATCTGTCAAGGTTTTGCTGGCATAGTAGATTACATGTAACACTTTTCTTTTACATTGGCTAAGCACCGCTCCCACTGCAAACTCACGAGCATCACACATAAGTTCGAAAGGTAGATCCCAATCAGGTGCTACTATCACTGGTGTAGAAGTTAACTTTTCTTTCAAAGTATTAAAGGCATTTAAGCATTCATCAGAAAAGTGAAATGACATGTCCTTTTCCAGTAGATTACACAGAGGTTTTGTAATTTTTGAGAAATCTTTAATGAACCTTCTATAAAATCCTGCATGTCCTAAGAAGCTTCTGATTTCCTTAACTGAATTAGAAGGCTGCAATTTTTCAATCACTTGTATTTTAACTTTGTCAACTTCAATGCCCTTTGAGGAAATCATGTGGCCTAAAACTATCCCCTCCTTTACCATAAAGTGACACTTTTCCCAATTGAGCACCAAATTCTTCTCTTCGCATCTTTTCAATACAAGAGATAACCGATCCAAGTAGTCATCAAATGAATCTCCAAACACAGAAAAATCATCCATGAAAATCTTAATGTACTTTTCTACCATGTCAGAAAAGATAGCTATTATGCACTGTTGAAAGGTTGCAGGTACGTTGCATAGACCAAATGACATCCTTCTAAACGCAAAAGTTCCATAAGCGCATGTGAATGTTGTTTTCTCTTGGTCTTCTGGAGCAATAACTATCTGATTGTACCCTAAATATCCGTCGAGAAAGCAGTAATGAGAATGACCGGCCAACCTCCCCAACATCTGATCAATGAATGTCAATGGAAAATGATTTTTTCTGGTTGCATTGTTTAGCTTTCTGTAATCTATAGATACTCTCCACCCTGTCACTAACTGTGTTGATATCAGCTCGTTGTTCTCATTCTTCTCCATTGTGATTCCACCCTTTTTAGGCACAACATGTACTGGACTCACCCATGAACTATCAAAGATGGGATAGATAATACCTGCATCCAACAATTTTAGAACTTCTTTCCACACTACTTCCTTCAAGGTTGGATTTAATCTGCATTGTCCTTCCACTGATGGCTTTAACCCGTCCTCCATTAAAATCCTATGTATACAAAGAGTTGGACTTATTCCTTTGATATCAGCTATTGTCCATCCAATTGCCATTTTTTCCTGTTTAAGTACCTCCAAAAATTTATTCTCCTCTTCCATTGTCATGTTATTTGCAATGATTACTGGAAGTATTGTAGATTTTCCCAAATATACTTAACGGAGATGTGAAGGTAGGGGCTTTAGTTCAAGAGTGGATGCCTTTTCTACTGAAGGTACTGGGGGTGAAAGGTTGTCACCAAGAGATTCATACTTCCAATGTCTTCTTCCTATTGGTTGCTCAGCCAAGTTGACAACACATTCAGCTTTTCCTACTTTTGTTGCTTCCGATTATGCAATTTCTGATTCACAAAGAACTATTTGATGCTTTGTTTCAAATGTATCTGCCACTAACTCTTCAAAAACATCTACTTAGCAACAAGTGTCTGAAGTCAGTGGATGTTTCATTGCCTTGAATATGTTGAATATGACTTGCTCATTGTCCACCCGAAGAATTATCTTTCCATCGTAAACATCAATCAGCACTCTTCAGGTAGCTAAGAAGGGTCTTCCCAAGATTAGAGGGATGTTTGAATCTTCTTCCATGTCTAAAACGATAAAGTCAGCCGGAAAAATGAATTTATCAACTTTGACTAGTACATCTTCAATAATCCCCTTCGATCGTTTGATTGATCTGTCAGCTAGTTGCAATGAGATTGTTGTAAGTTTTGTTTCTCCCAATCCAAGAGACCTGTAAATAGAGAGAGACATTAAATTAACACTTGCACCTAAATCGCATAAAGAATGTTCAAAATAATTAGAACCAATTGTGCAAGGTATCGTAAAACTCCCTGGGTCTTTTAGTTTAGGAGGTAGTTTTTTCAATAGAATTGCACTGTACTCTTCGTTCAGGCAGACTATCTCATGTTCTTCCAACTTTCTTTTGTTAGACAAGATCTCCTTCAAGAATTTAGCATAGCTGGGTATTTGGGCAATTGCATCTGCAAATGGAATATTGATGAACAGTTTCTTGAAAATCTCTACAAACTTGGCAAACTGCTTGTCCAACTTCTTTCTCTGTAGCCTCTGAGGGAAGGAAATTGGTGGCACATAAGCTTTCTCGGGGCTGGGTGCTCTCACTGTGGGTGTTTCTATCCTTTTATCCTCTTCATTGGTTGGTTGTTCAAACTCTGCTTCTATCCCAGCCTCTTCACCCATTGCTTCTTTGTCTTTTCTGTCTGGTCTCTTCACATGTATCTCTAGAAGTTGCACTCCACTTCTAGTCATAATAGCTTGCACTTGCTCTTTTTGATTGACCATTGTGTTGCTTGGCAATGTCCTTCGTGGGCGTTCTGCAAGCTGTTGAGCAATTTGACCAATTTGAGTTTCCAGCTTCTTAATGGATGCTTGCTGATTCTGAAAGTTAGCGTCAATCTGCTGGAACACCTTGTCTGTCTTCTACATGTACTGGTTGAACATCTTTGCCAAACTTGATTTTTTCTCCTATTGTGCATTGTTTGAATTGTTCCCTTGCTGATTATCTGACCATCTGAAGTTTAGGTGTTGTCTCCATCCTGGGTTATATGTTTGAGAAAAGGGATTAAAATTTCGCGAGCCATTTTGAATGAAGTTGACCCGTTCTTCCGAAAACCCCATAGATGTGCAATTTTCTGTTAGGTGATTTGCTCTGCAGTTTTCGCAGGATGGTCCAGTTATAACTGCATGTGCTCCTTTTGTTTGTGACTTCACCAATAACTCTCCATGTTTTGTCAATGCTGCTATTTGGGCGTTGGTAGATGCTGTGCTGTCTAATTCATAAATTCCCGCCGCTTTTGGAAGCACCACTCTTTCTGATGAAAACATGGAATGAGTAGTAGCAATCAACTTAAACAGATCCATTCATTGTTGCACTAATTTTCCTATGATCGATCCGCCTACAGAGGAATCCACTTAAGATTTGGATAGTGGTGAAAGTCCGGTGTAGAAATACTGCACTTGATTTCCAATAGTGATCCCATGATTTGGACACTTCCTCATCAATTCCTTAAATTTGTTCCAGGCCTCTTGATAGCTTTCCCCATCTTTCTTCTGAAAGGTTTGAATTTCCAATATGATTTTTGCTACTTTAGCTGGTGAAAAGAACTTATTGCAGAATTTCCTGGTCAGTTCCTCCCATGTGGTAATACTTCCATCCGGTTCGGCATCTAGCCATTCCAATGCTGCATCTCTCAGTGTATATGGGAATAATCGCAGCTTGATGGCGTCCTCATTAACCCTAGGAGCACGACAATTCTGGCAATTCCTGAGAAACCTTGAGATATGTGTGTTTGGATTCTCATGAGGTAACCCATAGAATTGCAGAGTGTTGCTTATCAAATTAATTCAATAAGCCCGTATCTGGAAGTTGTTATCCCAAAATCTGGATATACTATGCTGGACCACGCGGGCACTGCTATAGGCGTCAAAAACATAGAAATTGGCAAGTTCCCTTCATTTACTTCCCTTTGCTCTTGTGTTGAGCTCTCGCCACCATTTGTCTAATTGGCTATATAAGGTTAGGATTGTTTAGATTGTCAGCCATTTGATATTGCTGTTTTTGTTTGTGTTCCCTGCGTCTTCGTCTGAAGGTACATTCTATTTCCAAATCAAACGGTTCAAGATTGTCGCATTGGGCACGGAGCATACAACGAACACAGTTTTCTGTAAATAAAAGAAAATAAGCAAATCAAATAACAATTAAAAATAAGATAAAGTAAAATAACTAAAATAAATAAATTAATTAAGACAAAAAATAATAGTCCCCGGCAATGGCGCCAAAAACTTGTTTTCGATTTTATCTCACAAGTGGACGGATCGTAACAAGTAGTAAAGTGAATCTTTTGAGTCCGGATTATTGTTCCCACGAGAACTATACTTTAGTACTCAATTTATTATTCCTAACTTCTATTTAATGGAAATAAGTAACTAAAAAATGATTAAATGTGATTTTTAAATCTAATTATTAGAAATTTCGTGAATGTAACAGAAAATTAGTGAGAATTTAATTAATAAATGGGGATTAGCTAGGGCGGAACAAATTCACCTACTGGTCACCTTTATTTCTAATATCGAGATTCATAAAACTAAAGTAGTGTTCGGTCGAATTCTTCTATTGTATTCAACTTATCCCTATCAAGTTCTCATTGAACCTATTTAAATAGTTCAATTCCATATCTCTATGCAAATTGAATTTAATTAAACGAAATAACAGTTCTAAGAATTTCTATATGATCGCAGCAATTAATATAGGTATCTCTACACGTTATATTAATTTACCGAATTTTAATATATAGTCTAAATAAGAATCCGCATCTCTACGTAATTATTGTTCACGAAATCATTGAATAATTGGCCAGAAAATTCAAAGTATTAAAAACATAATTAAAATTCACACATAAAATATAAAAGAACAATAATCTCAAATAAAAGAAATAAAGATCCCAAATCAATTACATTGTTTGCCCTAAAAAATAAAATTTAGTTACACATATTAATGAGAGAAAAACAAGAACTTATGGAAGACATCACCAAATTAATTGACGGAACGTTATTGAAGTTTTGCAACGTGAATCTGCCGTCTCTGTCATGCTCATTGCCATTTCTTCTTTTATTTATTTATTTTTTTCAGCCATCGCCTGTCCTCAAATATGTGTGTAAATTGTATAATAATGGTTGAATCTCCCTCAATTCCCATGCGTCTCTTCCATCAATTAATGCCCTCCAATTCTCTCTATATATATATACAACCACAAAGTTTGACTCCCGTTCAAAGCCTTTAATGCTATATTACCCATCAAGTCCTCGATCTTTTCATATAATAAATTTCAGTCCTTGAGCCCTTTTATTCTTGCAACCCATGTATTCTTTAGTTCAATTCAAGTCCTTCACTTCCTAAATTATTCAATTTGACCTCCAAACATTTCAATCTTCGATTCATGGTCCAGATCAACTATTGAATTTTTACAACTTGGCCCCCAACTTTTGGATTTCACTCTTTTTTTCGCTTCATTCCTTTTTCTTCATAAATTTTCAACTATTAAACATAAAAGACAAAAAATTAGAATATAATTTATCAAAAGAACCATCAAATATCTTTATTTTTCTAAGTGCAAAATTGCTTGGTTTTGAATATATTATGGACATGTATGTTAATGATTCTAATTTTTCCAACATTTACAATTCATGTCATAAGGGGGCTATAAATAAGTTCTTTAAGTATGAAGGGTATTTGTTTCGGGAGAATAAATTATGTGTTCCTAATTGCTCTATGCATGAACTACTGGTTAGCGAAGCACATAGTGGGGGGACTTGTGGGTCACTTTGGGGTAACAAAGACTTTAGAGGTATTGACTGAACATTTTTATTGGCCTAAAATGATAATTGATGTGGAAAGGGTTTGTAGTCGATGCATAAAATGTAAACAGGCTAAATTAAGGGTCTTACCTCATGGACTGTATACACCTTTGCCAGTACCTAGTGAACCTTGGGTAGATATTTCAATGGACTTTGTGTTAGGTTTGCCTAGGACTAAAAAGGAGCGAGATTCAATTTTTGTAGTGGTGGATAGGTTTAGTAAAATGACACATTTCATTCCATGTTACAAAATTGATGACGCCATTAATATTGCAGACTTGTTTTTTAAAGAAATTGTGCGTTTGCATAGAGTACCTAAGAGTATAATGTCAGATATGGATATTAAGTTCCTTAATCACTTTTGGAGGGTCTTGTGGAATAAGTTAGGCACGAAACTACTATTTTCTACAACTTGTCATCCACAAAGAGATAAAAATAAAATAAAAAGAAAAAATAAATGATGTGATAAATGGGTCAGGGATCCCGCCCTGATCTCACCCCATCCCGCTTTGATTGAGCATGAGTATGGGGTAAGATAACAAAAATACCTAACGGAACGGGGGTGGAAATGGCCGACTCGTCCCGTTGCCATCCTTAACTATTTGCTACTTCCATGAGAGTTACAGCAATTGTTTGGGGCTGGGCGACGAATTTGAAATTTCATTTTTCATCTTTTCCTTCTTGTATTCTAATTCATGCTTAAAATACAATAACTGAGAATTGTCGTTTTGTTAGAACAGCAAAAATGTTGTTTTATGATGAAACCCCATAATTTACTCTATTTTTGAGAATAGAATTGTTATGAAATAAAGATTGGAGACAAAATTGTAATGCAAGTCAAAGGTCGAGAACCATTGTTGTATTTTACTTTTCAGGAAAAATTCATTCCGAAAAGAAAAATTACCTCACGACTTCTCAATTAAAATAAATGGTTGAAAGGTACATGATATCTCTGTGATAATTGTTCCAGTAATCAATAAACTTCTCAAAATATTGAATGTCATTCATTGAGATTACTTTCGTTTTGCAACTATAATGGAATAGTTGACACGACAAACAGATTGCACAGCTGACACCTAATCTCTAAATTGAGGCCCAATCACAAATAAATGTGTCTTTAATTGTTTACTATACTTTGATAGAAGTTTTTTTTTTATTGTTCATTATATTTTAAAGTGATCAAGTTTTGGCAATTAAAATTTTCAAGTCGCGAGATGATATGAAAATCAATAATGCTGTGTAGACATCCGAATTGACACTCCGGATGACACTTCACACACATGTGGGTGGGGCTCAAGCCTAATAAAATAATCGTTGCCCCACCCCATGTGTGTGGAGTGTCCTCCAGATGTCAACTCAGATGTACGCATAGCAGAATCGTATGAAAATTTAGGAATTATAAATAGCTTTTCAAAAACAGGTCCACTTTATGAGTTTATGATTAGAATGACAGCATTCTCTTTTTGCAAGATAATGACTAATTTATAGTGGTTGGTGTGCAAAGTCAATTGGAAAGAATTTTGCTAGAGAGAGAAGAAAATTAAAATCAAGAAGAATGAAATGAGAAATATTAATCACGGTGGCAAAGAAATCAAAAATCCGATCAAACCGATCAAACCAAATCAAATCAAGTCATTTTGGGTTCGTTTGAACAAAAAATCGATTTTGTTCAAGTAGTTTTAACCATTAAAGAGTCGGGTCGGGTTGGTTGCGACGATTAACCAACTCATCATGCTAATACCATTTTTTTTTTGAAAATTTATTTTCATTATAAAATTCATATTTTAAATTAAAAAATGAAATAATAAAAATAAAAATATAATTTTTCTCAAATAATTTTTTTTTACCATCTACGCTTTTCTACTAAAACTCCAAAATTCAAAAGAAAAGACAAAGCAACTAGAAGAATTGTTTATTATAAACTCCAAATTTATATTGTAGCCTTACTTTTCATTTTCATGTAGTTGTTTGTTGATAACTAACAAACATATATGTTGATTTTGGAAAAATAAACATTTTACTATTTACATTACATTATCTCTATATAATTAATACGCAATATGCAAGCAAAAAAATTATATATATAGACAAACAAAATTTTTAACTCAAAATCGGTACATAAGTTTTTTATTTTTTATTTTAACTCGAAAAAATGTTCAAATAGACTAACCAAAACAAGCCAATCCAAATCAATTTGGTTTGATTTGATTTCAATAGCTACATTGGGTTTATTTGTGTTGAGATTTACCAAAATTGATTAAGTCGATTTCGATCTCGAGTTGAGCTCTATATCAGCACAACCCAAACCATGTCCAAACCTAATTAAAACTAGTAGTTAAAACTAGTAATTACATCCAAAAAATATGATGCTAGAGCTAATAATTACATTCAGAAGTTTCTATAAAAAACACATGCATCAAACAAAAAATCTGGCATAGACACCTCTCATTATTTGCACAAATCCTTGCATCTGGGGCTTCTTTAAAGTGGAAAATGCATTGCCTCTC